TGGAACTTATTTTTGTATATTACAGAACATGCAGCTGAACATGTCCTTAACACCACACGTCTGACCTGCAACAGTCCACTTACATGTGGATTTTTTCTTCTTTTTTTTGAGACAGAGTCTTGCTCTGTTGTCCAAGCTGGGGTGTGGCGGCATCATCATAGCTCGCAGCAACCTCAAACTCCTCGGTTCAAGTGATTCTCCTGCCTCAGCCTCCGGAATAGCCGTGCACTCCGGACTACGAGTGCACACAACCACACCCAGCTAATTTTTAAATTTTTTGTAGAGATGAGGTCTCGCTATGTTGCTCAGGCTGCTCTCAAACTCCTGGCCTCCAGCGACTCTCTTGCCTTGGCCTTCTAAAGTGCTGGGATTACAGGCATTAGCCAGCACACCTGGCAGTTCTTTTAATTTAGACAGCTCCTCACCAGATTTGAGGTTGCAGTGTGCTGTGATGATGCCACTGCACTCTAGCCTGGGCAACAGAGCAAGATCCTGTCTCAAAAAAAAAAAAAAGAAAGTAAGAAAGAAAACATTTTTGAAGATTTGCAACAATTTGAAAAAATTCACAAATGAACCACATAGCCTAGAAATATCAAAAAAGTTAAGTATGTCATGAATGAAAATATACATAGATACTAGTCTATTTTATCACTTCCATAAAATATACACAAATTATAAAATTTATTAAAATTTACACAAACAGTATATACCATTCATAGTTGAGAAATGTAAACAAATGTAAATATGCAGTATTAAATCATAAATGCATATTAACTGTAGTACATACTGTACCACTATAATTTTGAAACCATCTCCTGGTGCTGTTGTGGTGAGCTCCTGTTGGAGTACCCAAATATCTGCCTGAAACACCGTGTGGTGCTATCACCTCCACGTGAGCAGTTTCTCCAGTGACTAGTGTATTGTAGTAAAAGGTGATCTCTCCACGTTCCCACGTTTCTCATTGTGTTTACTGCAATACCATAAACCGTGAATAACACCATGGGACCCGTATGAAGTGCCACTAATGATGCTGGAAGTGTTCCCAAGAAGCAGAGAAAAACCATGACATTATAAGAAACAGCTGAATTGCTTGATATATACATAGACCGAGGTCTGCAGCTGTGGTTGCCTGCCATTTCAGACAGATGATTCATCTTGCAAACAGATGACATAAATTTAAGGTATCAGTAAGTACAGTACGGTACTACAGTTTCTCTTCCTTATGATTTTCTTTTCTTTTTTTTTTTTTTGAGACAGTCTCACTCTGTTGCCCTGGCTAGAGTGCCGTGGCGTTAGCCTAGCTCACAGCAACCTCAAACTCCTGGGCTCAAGCGATCCTACTGCCTCAGCCTCCCGAGTAGCTGGGATTACAGGCATGTGCTCTCAAATATTCTCATGTAACAATGTCTATCCTTGAGTAAGGATTAGCAAAATATGGGTAAAAATGCCTTTCTGAGTTAATTTCTGAGAAATCTTGCTATTTGACAAACAAAGCATCAAGTGACTGATTTCCGTGACTGACCCACAAATGTGAACACTTCTTACCTAGAGAGATGAGCGTCTCATAATTGGTTCTCATGACATGCTTGTAAAGCTCCTTCTGCCATGCCTCTAGGTTCTGCCATTCTTGCTCCGAGAAATAAATGGCAACATCCTCAAAAGTCAGAGGTAACTGAAATTATAGACAGAGTACGTACATAGTCATGATTGCTCCAAAGTGACTCCAGCTCCTGTTTTTGTTCAGCAGCTTCTTCCTGGGAACTGCTCCTTCCCCTACCCCAATCGTGTGGTTCTGCTGTGAACCACGACAAGCCTCTGGGAGTTTCTTTATGTTTGTCCCAACTATATTTACATATGTAGAGAATGGAACTCTTTTTCTTTACAAAAATGGGAGCAAATCACTGTGTAACTTCATTCACTTAATGTTTCAGACATCTTTCCAGGTCAATACATAGACGCAAACTCATTCTTTGGTATGTTGCATTCCATTCCATGAGTAGATATACCCCACTAATGGGACACATATTGTTTCCATCTCCTTCTAGCTTACCAACAATGCTCTGATGTGCTTCCTTATGTATTAGTGCTTCTACTTCTGTAGGATAAAGTCTAAAAAGGACAACTACTAAATCAAATGGTATAAATATCTTCAGTTTTAATAGATATCACTAGATTGCCTTCTAGAAAGAAGCTAGTACATTTACTCTTGCTGTTGAGATGAGACTTCCTGTTTCTTTACAACTTTGACAGCACAAGATGTTCTTAAATTTTATTTTTTGCCAGTGTGATGGGTGGCAAGTAATATTTTATTGTCTTAATTTACATTAATTTGTGAGGCTTAGCATCACTTTCATACTTTTTGGCTCTCTGCATATTTTTGTGAAGGACCATTCACATCCTTTGCTCAGTGGGCTCTTGTAACTTAAATGAACTTTCTTGTATTAGGGTTAATAACCCTTTGACTAACTGACAATCATCTTCTCTATTTGTCTTATGTCTTCTGCCAAATAGAAAAGTGACCCTTTCATTTAGTTAAATCAGTACATATTTATCATGTTGTTTCCATATTTTTCTTTTATCTTAAGTGTTCCCCACATCAAAGTTATACAAATATTCCACTAAAGTCTTTTTACATTTGCAATTTAATTCTGTAGATGAGACTGGCATTTTTATTTACACACATATGGATAGCCAATCATGCAACACTATTAAATATATCATTCTTTCTTAGATTAAAATGCCAACCTTCAACCTTTGCATATATATCCAGATTTATACGTATACATGAGTCTGTATATCCTGAACTCTCTATTCTCTTAAACTATCTGTATGTAACTTTGTAATACCCAGAGAGTAAGTCTCCCGGCTCCCACTCCCTGCCTCATTCTATTTCAAGCTACTGTTGTCAATTCCTGGAATATCTATTCGTCCTTACAAACTTCAAAATCACTTTGTTCAGTCAAAAAAAAGTACATTAGGATTAGGTTTGAATTACATTATGTATAAATATGTATTTAGGAAAGATCGATATCACCTTGGAACACAGGCCCTTCCATTTATTTAGGTCTTGCTTGTTATCTTTTGATAAACTTAATGATTTTCTTTATAAATGTTCTGAATCATTTTATTATTTCTGGTATTCTCTGGTTTTTCTAATAAATGTAAATAGGACCACCCCCGCCACTTCCAATCATTATTACTAGTATTTTTTAAAGTTACTGATTTTTGTAAACTTATTTTGTATCTAACCAATTTTCCATATTTATCAATCCTAATAGTAATACTGTAAGTTTTTGGTGGAATAAAATCATACTATTTTCAAATAAGGATAACTTCCCCATCTTCCCTCAAGGTGTACTGCTTTTTTCTTATATTATTACATTTATTAAAACCGCTTTTGTGGCTTTAGGGTTTAATATCTTGATTTGGAAAGCTTTTCCCATTCTAAGATTATAAAAGATATTCTCCTGATTTTTCATGTTTTTATAGCTTTGTTTATTAGGATGAAACCTTTTACCACCTGGAACTTATTTTTGTATATTACAGAACATGCAGCTGAACATGTCCTTAACACCACACGTCTGACCTGCAACAGTCCACTTACATGTGGATTTTTTCTTCTTTTTTTTGAGACAGAGTCTTGCTCTGTTGTCCAAGCTGGGGTGTGGCGGCATCATCATAGCTCGCAGCAACCTCAAACTCCTCGGTTCAAGTGATTCTCCTGCCTCAGCCTCCGGAATAGCCGTGCACTCCGGACTACGAGTGCACACAACCACACCCAGCTAATTTTTAAATTTTTTGTAGAGATGAGGTCTCGCTATGTTGCTCAGGCTGCTCTCAAACTCCTGGCCTCCAGCGACTCTCTTGCCTTGGCCTTCTAAAGTGCTGGGATTACAGGCATTAGCCAGCACACCTGGCAGTTCTTTTAATTTAGACAGCTCCTCACCAGATTTGAGGTTGCAGTGTGCTGTGATGATGCCACTGCACTCTAGCCTGGGCAACAGAGCAAGATCCTGTCTCAAAAAAAAAAAAAAGAAAGTAAGAAAGAAAACATTTTTGAAGATTTGCAACAATTTGAAAAAATTCACAAATGAACCACATAGCCTAGAAATATCAAAAAAGTTAAGTATGTCATGAATGAAAATATACATAGATACTAGTCTATTTTATCACTTCCATAAAATATACACAAATTATAAAATTTATTAAAATTTACACAAACAGTATATACCATTCATAGTTGAGAAATGTAAACAAATGTAAATATGCAGTATTAAATCATAAATGCATATTAACTGTAGTACATACTGTACCACTATAATTTTGAAACCATCTCCTGGTGCTGTTGTGGTGAGCTCCTGTTGGAGTACCCAAATATCTGCCTGAAACACCGTGTGGTGCTATCACCTCCACGTGAGCAGTTTCTCCAGTGACTAGTGTATTGTAGTAAAAGGTGATCTCTCCACGTTCCCACGTTTCTCATTGTGTTTACTGCAATACCATAAACCGTGAATAACACCATGGGACCCGTATGAAGCGCCACTAATGATGCTGGAAGTGTTCCCAAGAAGCAGAGAAAAACCATGACATTATAAGAAACAGCTGAATTGCTTGATATATACATAGACCGAGGTCTGCAGCTGTGGTTGCCTGCCATTTCAGACAGATGATTCATCTTGCAAACAGATGACATAAATTTAAGGTATCCAGTAAGTACAGTACGGTACTACAGTTTCTCTTCCTTATGATTTTCTTTTCTTTTTTTTTTTTTTGAGACAGTCTCACTCTGTTGCCCTGGCTAGAGTGCCGTGGCGTTAGCCTAGCTCACAGCAACCTCAAACTCCTGGGCTCAAGCGATCCTACTGCCTCAGCCTCCCGAGTAGCTGGGATTACAGGCATGTGCCACCATGCCTGGCTAATATTTTTCTATATATTTTTAGTTGTCCAATTAATTTCTTTCTATTTTTAGTAGAGACGGGATCTCGCTCTTGCTCAGGCCGGCCTTGAACTCCTGAGCTCAAACAATCCGCCCGCCTCAGCCTCCCAGAGTGCTAGGATTACAGGCGTGAGCCACCGCGCCCGGCCCCTTATGATTTTCTTAATAACATTTTTTTCTCTAGCTTACTTTATTGTAGCAATACAGTATATAATACACATAACATACAAAATATGTGTTAATCGGCTGTTTATGTAATCAGTAAGGCTTCTGGTCAACAAGTAGGCTATTAGTAGTTAAGTTTTTGGGGAGTAAAAGTTATATACAGATTTTTGACTGCATGCAGTTGGGAGGGGAGTTGGACCCCCTAACCCCTGCACTGTCTGAGGGTCAACTGTAATTCTTTTCCCAAATGCATATTTGTCACATTTATTGACAAACTGAATACTCTATTCTTTTACCACTGATTTGGGATTTTTTTGATAGATTCCAATTTATTCTTGGGCATATTTTTGTTCCACTGGTGAACTTGCCTCTTCCTGCCCCGATACTGCACTGTTTAATTCTTACAGTTTTATCAAATGTTTTGTTATTCGAGAGAGCATGGCTATCCACCACCACAATCCACATAATTTTTTGCTGGAAACTGTCTTGATCTTTTTTTGTCTATTTTCTCTCCTACATAAACAGGAAAAATATCTTGTCAAATTAAATACAAATTCTATTTAGAATCCGATAGGACTACATTAAATATAGGGATTAACTTGGGGAGAACTGGATTTTTAAAATAAGGGATCTTCCCAACCAGAAACATGGTATATCTCCTTTAATTATTTTTATGTGTTTAAAATTTATAGTTTTTTCCATATAGACGTTAAATAATTCTTGATAGATTCATTCCTAGGTATTTTAGAGTTTTAGTTGCTACTGTGCTTGGGGAACTATTTTTTCCACTAAAATTTCTAATTATGAAAGCTTTGGAAGGCTGATTTTTATGTTCATTTTGTAAATAACTTTCCTTGTTAGCTAAATCTTTTATAGTTGATTGTGTTGGAGTTCCTTCATAGAAAACTAAATCTGCAATTAACACTTCTTTTAACTATTGAACTCTATCATTTCTTATTTTTCTTATTGCATTAGCTAGAATGTTGAATAATAGTGACAGCAGCATGCATCTATCTTTTTCCTTACTTTAATAAAAATCCTTCTAATGGTTAACTTTAAAAGTAATGTTCACTGGTTTCCTTTAACTGATTAACCAAGATTCCAGTTATCGGCAATTGGTTTTGAATTTCATTGCTTTAAAAATTGCATTACAAAAATGTAATACATGTAAATGTGTTAATATTGTTTAATATTTGTGTTTATTATGGTTGGCTTAGATAAACTGACACTTGAGGTTCATAACTAGGAGTATGTAAATTACATGTTAGTTTAAAATACTCTACATAAATATACATCTCATCTTTTATTGAATTGCAACTATTCACATGTGTGCTTATTTTCTATGGGTATTAAAGTGTATCTTGTTTCAACTTTTATTCATCTTTTTGTTGTATTCAATATGAAACTTAGAGTTGTTTTAAAACTCTAATGACTCCTTTACACTTGTCTTAGTCTGTTTAATGTTGCTATAAATGAAT